CAGACCTTGATAACAAATTCTCAGAAGCTTATAGACTATGCCATCGGCCATATTGTATGTCTTGGACCAATGACCGAAAACTATGCTTTGCTGGACAGGGAGAGGATGACAAGTTCCTTCACGATCAGCTGTTGCCCCACAACTTCGAGGATGCCTGCAAGGGTGCAAATGCCCCGCTGGTGCTTCGGATGCAACCTGGCTATGACCATTCCTACTACTTCATTTCGACCTTCATCGATGATCACATCCACCACCATGCCAAAGCTCTTAAATGTGCTTGAGTCTGTGGTCGCAAAATAGACTTCATGCCATGGGATCCCAGAATGCAGCAGATGTGTAGAATTCACTTGTAGAAGTACTCTTACAACTATTTCAATGCTCTTGTTCCAACTGTGAACCAGATATTTAACTGCCTTCTGGTCACAACTCAGTAAGTCTGACCTTCTATTTCCATATCATCCGCATATTAATCTCCCTCGGCCTCGTCTTCCTTCTAATTCTTAAACATCAACGAAGTCGAGAACTGGTTGATGTTTACTTGATCAGGGAGCGAAGGGAACATTTAGGTAAGCCCATTCATTTTCTTTGGACATGTCTGCCATAGTCTCATATCACTTTGTCATCAGAACTTGTTCCCAAGTTCAAAAAAACCAACTTGATTCTTGCTCTTTGGACATGTCTTCTATACCAACACCATCTATATCAAGGTTTGGCATCTGAGCCGAGGTCTCATTTGCTCCTCAGTGGAATGAGAGATCATGCTAAGTCTGTAGGGTGGCATTAGCTACATGATTACTTCGAAGGGATGCCATGAGAGAAGGATGCCGCAGCCTCAGCCTCAGCCTCAGCACTAAGAGAGTGAAACACTGTGCCATGTGAAACTCCATTTGCCTGATGATGATGCCGGAGGAAGCTTTCCCATTGGCGTCCAGGGGTTTGTGGTCGTGAACCGGACCGGTCTTCTCCTCTGTTGATGACGTCGAACCCGGTCAATTAAATCCCGCTACTCAGCCCGAACCAAACCCGGCTCAAACTTAAGGCGTTAATTTAACCAAATCGGACCCCCATCGCTCCGCCCTTTCCTCTCGTCTCTGCCGCTTCTTAATTCACGGAGGAACGCCTAGGGTTCCGCCCCGACATCGCTCCCCTCGCCACCCCGCCATGGAGCCGCGGCTGCAGCACCCCAAGAACGGCCTCTTCTTCTCTGATCTCTTCGACTTTGGTGTAATTATCTTCCCCCTTCTTGGTTCAAATTCGGGTACCAATGATGACGTGTATATGATTAGAATTTTTTAAAGAAGCAGTTAAATCTATGTTGAACCATTTGCAATTAACCTTGATTTCTATGTATACAATCTGGCATGCGATATTAGGCAATTTAATTTCTAACATCCTTGGACGCATGTTCTTTTGTTGTATATACCTTTGAAATTGCGATCATGTAAATAGAAATATGTGAACTTTGTTACCGAGGATGAGTAATATATCCTGATATAAATGATTGGTGCATTTAAAAATGCCATGAGATAAAAGATTCCTGTGAAGTAGAATGCATTGTGGCCCTCTTTTGCTTTTGGGACTCCAAAGCATGTGATCGTCCTTCTACAAAGCTTTCTTGCAGTCCATTTTAAGTTCAGTCGAAGCATCCTGAGCTGGAGATGAAGTGAGTCATGGCATACTCATAAGTGAATCTACATGATTTTGGAAGAGGATGGTGAAACTTGTACTTCCAAGTTACATGTTCCAAACATATTACTGATACTTGAATACTTGCAACATATTAATCATTTTTTTAATCTGTTTTGAAATGATTGATATTGTTAGAGATATCTAGAAATGATACTTCATATATTCCGAACCCGAAATTGCATCCCTTGAAACTCAAACATAGTATTCCTGACAACTGTCTCAAAGGAGCTTAGTTCTTTTGATGCATCCCTGAATAGTTCTAGTGTCCTTAATAGTCCAAACATAATATCACCCAAATTGCACTTAACTATTTTGATATAATTCAAACATGAAGCATGAGTTGGATAAATATCACTGTTTTAGGCATGACAGGATGTGCCTCATCTTCGCATTATCGTAGAGTTCTGCAACTTGGAACAACATTTTGGTAGTTATGATAGTTGGATTTTCTTGTCAAAGATATCATACAGTTTGTGCCTACTCATTGCAGGTAGCCAAGTTCTACTTAATCATTTGGCTAATTGTAGCTATTTTTCGTGTTTCTTTTGCAGGCCAATGATCGGCAAAAGAAAAAACGGTTGAAGGGAATACAAGCAGATGAGGAAGGAGATGTAATATTTGGAGGACTTCTTGACAAGTGGTTCTGCAGAAAATGAGTCAGAATATATAAGAAAAAGGTATTCTTGGCAAACCTAAAGTTGCTCCACACTACATAATATGCATGTCTTCTAATTTCTCCATATATATGCAAAGCATTTTTTCCCCCCTTGTATCATCCTCTGCTATTTATTAACTGATGTCCAGTTTCTAATGTTGATCGTCATAAGTTCACTGATTTGAGCTAAATTGCCAGAGGTAAATATGCTGATTTTGAAAAAACTACATCAACCCCATGCATGTTAATATAATTAGCAAAAGTAGTTGATGGAAACAAGGATTTAGGACCATGAACGTAGGTCTATTTTCCCCTAGAATGGTTTATGAAAAGATGCAAAAGCCACAGAAAACAGCGAGATGCCTCTAGAATTTCGAATACATGGTGTTAGTGTCGGTTTCTTGTGAATCTTTTGCAAATTAAAAATTAAATTAATGATGAGGATGCAAATTTTAAAACTAATCCAGAAAATTTTATATATTGATGAGGATGCATGGGAGTAGCTATAGGTAGTAGTTTTACTTGTAAATCAACACAGGAAGATGCTCACTTACATCGCTATCCGATAAGAATTGTTGTGGCTTTCTTGTCCAGAGAAGCAAAATTCCAGAAGCATAATCCTTCCAAGTCTCAGATTCCTTGGGTAACTGCAGAAGAAATAGATCAGCCACCGCAAACTGATGAACCTATTCCAACCCGGCACGAGGAAGATAATGCTGTCCAACAAAGAATAAAAGGATCAATGAAGGGTGTTAATCAGAAACTTGAACCTTCTCTCAACTCTGCTACAAGCCGGTTTTGGATGTCTACGTCTGGTTTACCGGACGGTACACCATCTCAAGCTCCTCCATTTGCATGAGTTGAAGAGGACCCAAACCGTCTCTTCCATTTTGGACAATGATTCAAAAGAATTTGGTGCCTGCGAGCTGTCATCTGACCCTCGGGACTCTTATGGTTGGAGCAGGTTCCGTACTCACTTTCTGAAGCTTTGGGCAAAGCTGCACAGAGTTGTCTACAAGTGCCAGGAGAGATCATATTAAAGGTGCTCGAGAAGAATCTTAATTGTATATTCGCTATGTCTACACACTGTTCTATTTGAAACGGCTCCTGCAAAGATTAACATACGGTACGATGAACATTGGCCCGTTGCAGGAGTTGTGCCTTAATAATGTTTAGATGTGATTTAATACTTTGTTGCAGGAATCATGTGGAAGCCCAAAGTCTCTTCCTTGCAGTATTATTAAGATCCTGTCACATTCGTTTGAACCGGACATTCATCTATGTGCCTTCATGAGACGGTGTTTGAGGTTGCAAGGTTTCTTCCTCGCAGTGTCAGCGCTAGAAGATGTCGACAACAGGGACAAGTGTTTGCCTTCATGTGCCCCTCTTGCCTCTGCCCTTCGAGATCACAGCATTCGCGGTACCCTTCGATGCTCTTCTTTCTCGTTCACTGCCCTCTCAACATTCGCTGCCTAATCTCACTCGTTCTTGCTTTCTGCTTCGTCAATATCTCGGTTTGGCATCAAATCATTTAGTCGAACACATTTTTATCTTCTTTTTCTTTTTTTTTGGGGGGAAGCAGTTTAATTGATCGGAACCAACCATTTCTTTTTACATGTTACAAAAATTTGGCACCAAAACCCTCCCGCCCACAACTATTGATTTCTTCACCCATGAACGCCGTCCGCATCTGGTTCGGCGGCGTCAGTGACACATCTGGCCGTCCATCATGCGGACGAAATCATCGAAGCCGACGAAGCCGTCGCCGTCGGTGTCGACGCCGCCGATCATCCGGCGGCAGTCGTCGAGCGTGCAGCCGCCGTCGCCCAGCGTGGCGAACACGCCCAGAAGCTCCTCCGCCGAGATCTTCCCGTCCCCGTCCGCGTCGAACACCGCGAAGGCGTCCCGCAGCTCGGACTCCCCGCCGCGCCCCCCGCCCAGCAACGCCCCGAGCGCGCCGAACTCGTCCAGGCTGATGCACCCGTCCCCGTCGCGGTCCACCTCCGCCACCATGGATGCCACCTCCTCCGCAGTGGGCGGGTCCGGGACGAGCCGCCGCAGTACCGCCTCCAGCTCCCGCTTCGTGATCTTGCCGTCCCCGTCGCAGTCGAACACGTTGAAGAGGTCGAGCCAGGCGGCCTCGTCAGGGAGGAAGACGACAGGCGCCTTTCCATGGTCCGGCGGGAGGACGGATCTTGGCGTGGCTTGGCGGGCAGAGACGGCCGAATACTCCTCCTCGGAAGAGGAAGAAGCAGAAAAAGAAGAGTTGGAAGCGAAGGAGGCGTCCGCCCGAGCGACGGAGCGCCTGCTCTTCTTCTTCTCGTTCTTCGAGGAGGAGCTCCTCTTCAAGGAGCTCAACAAAGAATCCACGCTGAGCTTCATCTTGCTAAGAGATCGGGGGAGTAGATAGAACGATGGACTGAATAAAGGGCAAGGGGAGGGAGGAGTTTAAAGAAGTAGGAGGAGAGAGAAGACTCGGGGGGCGCAGTGAGCTTCGAGGAAGCTTCGCGGGGGGAAATGGGGCTCTGCTTTCGGGCATTGATGTGAAAGATGATGCGACGAGACGAAGAGTTGTTGTTTTGCTTTTGGACTTTTGCCTCCGTTTCGTGGTGCTTCGCGTGCATGGCATGCATGTATGCATCTCCACACATCGGGCAAGATGAATCCAACCGGATCTTGTGTTGGGTGCGTCCAGATCTACCCATGTTGGGTTCTCTGTCTTCCTGCACAACCGATGCTGTGGGTACGACTGTCTCGACCTTGGCGGGCCCCAACTCCATGTGTTACTGCGGCTTGGGTGGTATTGAGTTGTCAGTGGGCGTCCCATGTGGTTGTGTGATGTGGTCGCCCACAGCGTTGCCACTTTCCAAGAAGCGGTGCCGGTGGGCCATACCTCGTGGTCTCATTCCCCGCCGTTTTCACCTCCCTTTCAAACCCGATCAAGTAAGACCGTAAATGTCAAGAATCCAAGTATTCGAAACTATCCGATCCACCGTTATGATCATTGTCTTCCATCGATCGAAGCTCGATACGTAAAATCTAACCAATTTAGATATGACAATTGACATGCCGTGCGAAGATAAATATTTTCTATACAGTGGTAGACGGTGGCAATACACACTTACGGTTTCCTTCGTTTGCTTCTCGGTATTATTGTTTTACATCTTTATGTCCTGATCAAGGTATCAACGGTTTGATCCGTCCCGAGTATGTAAAATTATCAGTATGACCTTTGAGCTGGAGCGTGTTAACCCGATATCTAATTGAGGGGGCATAGGTCTCATTCTCCTAGATGGAGATTAAAGATCACTCATTTAGTTATCCATCGAATGCCTATACACAGGTCAGAATCGGGAGGGGGATTCCCAACTCGACCCCTCCGATGCTTGAGTTAGAGATGAGAGAGTTAAAGTGTGTGTATGAGATCCAACCCCCAGTACTGTCCCTGAGTGTGACTTTTATAAATGTTGTCATGTGTTGACGTAAGTAGCTATTAATGATCGATGGTGTCTCCATACGTAGGTGTTTAAAGGTTGTTGTCGCCATAGGTGGTCAGCTTGTATGCTGGAACGCAAGTGTAGTCTGATCTGTCTGACCCTGCTTCATTTAGCATTGCTTTGCACCTCTAGAGTAGCTCAGGATGGGGCTGCGTCGATAGGTGGCCAGCTTGTATGTTAGGATGTTGGCACGGTCTGATTTGTCTAGTCCTGTTTCATTCGGTTCTGCCCTACGCCTCTGGACTAGCTTAGGACGACGTCGCTTTGTACAGCCTCGAGTGATGTGTTGGCAACTTGGATGACAAGCGACTGTTGCGTTTATATTCGATGTATCGAGTCAACTCGGTGTGTCAGGTTGGCTTCGGAACGCATGCTAGATCCATTATGACAATCGACGTATCTATGGAGCGGATGCCAGAATATATTATATCAGTTATCGTTCGCAATACACACATACGATGCTCTCCTCGTACGTTCGACGCTGTCAGTATATGAGCAGATGGGACGAGAGTTCCTGGCAGCTTCCTACCTCTCTTCCTCGTGGGTTTCTATGGAATCTGTACCTGCACCTGCGTACTCCTATGAATCCAAGCAGAAGAAACAAGAGGAACAGGTCGATCGCTCTTGTATACTGCACCAGCATCAGTGTCAGGATCCAACCTCATGGCTTCCTCATCCATGGAACGATCAGTCGCCTGCAGTCACAAAGCTAGAAGACAGCAGTAGTTTCTGTACCATATTGTCACCTATCTCTTGTCAGCACCTTGTAAGGAGATCCCCTACATGGAATGAATGTTTTCATGCTACAGGTTACTGCAATATGTATCTGCAGGAACCGCTGTCTAGTGTTGGAGGACGCTGATGGAGAATTCATGGACAAGCCAAAGTGAATACAGTTACTCATGATGTCTTCAGTGTCAAGGTGGTACAAATACAGTTTAATTCGCTCGATCCTGATGCTGGTATAATAGGTTATGAATAGTTGGAGAGATGGAAAGTGGCAATGAAAATCTATGGATTGATTACTAAATGAAAAAGATGAATATTCTTTTTGTTGTTGATAGGAAGAAGGGATAGAATTATTAAATAAAGAAAAAATAGGACAAAGTTAAATCTTCTATTTTTCTCTTAAAATATTTTATAATTTTAGAAACTCTATATGTTTTATGATCCATACGGGATTTATATGATCTCCAAAGATACATTACGTTAATTATATTCAAAATAAATTATTCTCTTTCAATGAACTCCTTCAAGAACAAATGGCTAATTTGACTTCTCATTCAATAGATATTTAATTTATTTTTCCTTTTGATACAATGAATCTCTCTCTCTCTTGATGTAATGAATATTTTTTTCGATGAAATTAACCTTTTTATAATACTTGAACTAGTTTAATTCTAATATTCTTCCCCTTTAAACTTGTTTATCTAACATGCCAAGTTTTTTTCGAAGTTGTTGAAATATTTTAAATTTGAAAGAGTTTGTATGTATATCGATCACTTGTTCACTTGTGTAGATCTACTTCTTTATTTTTAATATGATCACTTATAAAATGAAATCTTGTATCGATATGCTTTAATCTTTTATGATAGATTAGATTCTTAGCTAAGGCAATAGTTGATTTGTTATCAATATAAATCTTGGTTGACTTCTTTTATGACATATGAAGTTCTTGAAGTAATTTTCTTTATCAAATTACATGACAAATATAAGAATATGCTGCAATATATTCTACTTCACAACTTGATATAGCAATGATCAATTGCTTTTTTGAAGACCAAGTAAATGTAGCTTCACCAAAATAAAATACAAATCCAGTTGTACTTTTTCGATTATCGTAACTTCCGACCCAATCACTTCACCTTCCTTAGTTAACTTGGTGTCATATTCAATAGGAGTATCTGTAGGGTGCCAATCTTCCATAGATAACTTATTTAGAACCTCATTTGCATATTTTTCTTATAAGATAAAAATTCCTTCATTGTCTTGTATAACATCGATACCGAAAAAATAAGTCATTAAGTCTAAGTCAATCATCTCAAATTCCTTCTTCATAGAGTGTTTAAAATTTTTAATTATAGAGCTACTATTATTTGTAAACATTAAATTATCTACATATAAGCATATAAACAAGATATCTCCATTAGAGTTAGATTTCGTATAGAGAGCTCTCCATAAAGAGCTCTCTTTAACTTGTATACTTTGTCTTCTTGTTCATGAATAATAAAACTAGGAGGTTGTTGAATATATACCTTCTTCAAGAACTCTATTAAGAAATACTGTTTTGATATTCATTTATAAAATTTTTCATTTCATTTGAACTGCTAGGGAGATAAGTAATCTTACTATCTCTAGTCGAACAACTAGTACAAATACTTCTTCATAGTCGATCCCATATTGTTGTTTGTATCTCTTTGCAACCAATCGGGTCTTATATTTCTCCACCTCCATTTTTATTTTTTATTTTTGTTTTAAAGATCCACTTAACACCGATCGCTCAATGGTCTTCTAGAAGTGTGGTAAGCTCCCATGTTTCATTTTTATTAGTAGCATGAATCTCCTCATTTATAACTTGTCATCAATTTTCTTCTCTACAAGCTTCTTCGAAGGTTAATGGATCATATTCTATAAAAATATAAAATAAAAAAAAGTTTATTATTGTTAGTATCAATCCTTCAAGTCACATCATATAGCTAATGAATCAATATTGTCCTTCTTATAATCAGACTTCTTGAATCATATGACCTAGCTGACTTATATCATCATCTTTTGAAGCTATAGTTTTCTTATGTTACTCATCATTTTTCTGATTCCAAATCTGTTGCTCATCAAGCTCAACATCTCTTGAGTTTATAGCAATTAAAATTCTCTACTTAACCTAGCAAAATTTATTTCTACCTTTTATCCTCCAGTTTTGTTCTCTTTTCTTCTGGTATCTTGGCAAATGCAACACTTCCAAAAATACTTAAATGATCGACTCTTGGTTTCTGCAAGCTCCATACTTCTTCTAGTGTAAAATTACTAATTTACTGTATAGGAAACTTATTAAGTATATAAACTGTATAAGCAGCAACATCACCCTAAAATTCTTTAAGAATTTTTCTTTCCTTTAACATGCATCAGACCATATTAAATATAATCTTTTTTTTTTTTTCTGAGATACCCTTTTGTTGAGGTATATATGACATGAAGAATTGATGCAAAATCTCATATTTCTATGAAAACTTTTAAATTCATTTGATATGTATTCACTACCCCTATCTGTTATTAAACATTTAATCTTACAACCACTTTATTTTTCAACCAAATCCTTAAATTCTTTGAATTTGCTTAAAACTTTTTTTTTTCTTTTAATATGTAAACCCAAGTTTTGATACTATGATCATCAAAGGTAAGAAAATATTTGCTTTCTCCAAGTGATACTAGACCGATAGGACCACAAACATCTGAGTGCATGAGATCAAGTCAATGTCATACTCTTTTTTGTTCTTTTAACTTTGAAATGCTTTCTTTCTTGCTTATCCATTATACATACTTCATATAATTTTGATGAGAGATTAATTCTTGGCATTCTTATCACCATATTATACTTATCTAGAAGTTTCAAAGCCTCAAAATTTAAGTGAGCATAACTAAGATATAGAAATGTCCTCAATATCAATTTAGAAAGAATTTGACCAATTAAAAATACATAAATATAGAGGAAATATTCTGTTTTTTTGTCATTTTCACTTGTGAGATTAATTTTTTATTCTCATGACGAATAGAAAGAGCTATATCTTTTATCTTGATATCATAACTTTTTTCAAGTAATTTTTTCAAGCTTAGAATATTATATTTTATATCAGAAATATAATAAACATCTAAAATGCATAATATTTTGTCATTATTTAGTCCAAGAAAAATTTTACCTCTTATTGGTCTTTGAAATAGATCACCAAATGTAATATTCATGGAAGAACTTATATATATTTTTGAAAATAGCTCTTTGATGCCACACATGTGATTTGAGGCTCCTGTATCTAGATATTATGTCATAGACTGATCATCTTTCAAATTATTAGAAATCATTAGTAAAATTTTATTTTCATTCTTTTCTTCTTCAACAAAATTTATCTTATCATCTTGATTATTAGGATTATAATAACTAATGTCCATACCTTTTGCAAACATAGGATTATATTTCAGACTTTTTATAATTTCTGTCACATCCATAACCTCGGCCACGTCCTCGACCATAACTTCAACTTCTTTGGTTAGAATTTTCTCCGTTACTTTCATTGTTTGAAAATTCTTGATTAGTCTGATTTCTATCTCTTCTTCCTCTTTATCCACATCATCTTTCTCTTTAAGAATTTAATTCACCTTTATTTTCAAGAGTAAGCTTGATTTGTAGTGCTTGCTTCATAGTTTTACATTCTTTTCTTTTTGTAATCCTTTGTTCATAAACTTGAAGGAACCATAAGTTGTTCTAAAGATATTTTCTAAATTAAATTTTGGATCTAGAGATCATAGTATTTTTTCTATTGCTTTTTTATCACTTATTTGTTCACCATTTCGTTTTTATATCACTTTTTTTTATCTTTATATCATTTAAAAATTAATCAAAATAGTTTCAAAAGTACTTTATTGTAATTTTTTAAACTTGGCTCGTAAAACTCGTGGACAATGTTTTTTTACCTTATCAATACCACCAAATGCTTTTTGAAGCATTTCCCAAGCCTTCTTTGAAGTATTTACTAGAGTAATAATCTTTTTCTCTTTCTCGAAAATTATATCATTAAGCTCTCGGTAGATCATGAATAAGGTCTTTTTCTCTTTCTTCCTTCTATCTTTGAGTTGTTTTCTAGCTTTTGTATTCATTGCTCCTTTTTCTGCTAGACTTGGTTCAACAAATTTATCTTTTAGAAGAACCCTCATTTATATACACTATATGTCATAATTTTTTTTTTGCCAATATGGGGATTTGGAGTTGGATAATAGTTGGGAAAGAGGCTATAGCTTAACCTATGCTTCGATACCAAGTATGGAACTTGATAGAAAGAAGAGATAGAGTTATTAAACAAAGGAAGAGTACAAGATTAAATCTTCTATATTTCTCTTAAAATTTTTTATAATTTCAAAAACTCTATATGTTTTATGACCCAACAAGGTTTATATAGTCGCTATGTATTACATTAATTGTATTCAAAATGAGTTATTTTTTTTGAAAAAATCTCTTCAAGAACCAATAGTCAATTTGGCTTCTACTTCTATAAACATTTAATATATTTTTTTTATGCAATGAATCTATCTCTTGATACAATACAATGAACCTTAAATTAACCTTTCTTTTTATACTTAAATAAGTTTAATTCCAACACTTTTCACTTAGATTTTTCTCTTACGCTTCTCATGAGTAGGAGATGCGGAAGAGGTTCTCAATCTTCTTTCCTTTGGTCTTGAAAGCCATTTCCTCCGATTAACCATCCATCGTCCCCAACAAAGGCTTTCATTACCTCACTTTTGGCCTCTATTGGCTCCCTTATATCGCTCACGGAGCCATAGCCATACTCTCCATCTCTTCGTTCAAAAGAAAGAGTTTTCCGAGTATCGTCTCTCGTTCGGGAATCGTCGATCCACGTATCAATGATAAACAATTCAATGAATAATTAGAGGTAATCAGAAAGTCTAAAAGCGGAAAAGTGGGGGAAGAACGAAAGTTGTGTTGTGCACGCAATAGCTGCGTCTGTAAAGAGTTTTGAGCGAATAGGAGACTATCATTTGCCAACATGCACGCAACCTACGTAGCAACAACGGGCACGCACGGAAGCACGAGAAGCGAGGAAAGTACAGAAAGACTACGTATATCCATACGTCTGTCTATCATTTTGGGAGTAATCACAGACAGAAAAAGAATATGAAAGGAAATGGGCTGAACCTTCTCTTTGACTACTCAACATTTCAAGGCCCACTCGATCCGGTTTTGCCGGAGGACCCAATGTGGTGCTATGGTTTGAGAATTTGAGCTCCGATGAATCTCATCTGGATGAAATCTCGACATCGATCGAGATATCCTTTTACTAGAGAGCAATCATAGTGTATCAGACTACTCTCACCGATTCCATATACATAGTCTTCCCTTGTCAAGCAAAAAGGTCACCTTTCAATTCATGCTTTGATCGTGTAAAGGAGCAATCTTATCGTTTCTCCAGCTTTTGGATCTCTACAAATGGAGCAACCTTGAGTTGCATTTGGGATCTTTTAAATCAATATTGGATTTGGATCCGCATTTGTACTCTCTATGCTAAGTCGTATACTAAAGATTATTACTTGCTTACCTTCTTTAGCGTTGACTCCTTTGAAAATGATATGTTACGTATCTTTGTTGCCTATTGTCATATCTACACCACTCGTCGAGGCATAATGGACCCCATCAGTGGATTCGGTATGGATCTCATGTTGCCTATCCTTCTCTCGAGTGTGGCATAAACAGGTCTGTTTACTATGTTGTCACATGCCCACTCGTAAGCTTTTCTCTTCTAGAGATTGTTCTAAATAAAGCTTACATAAAGCTTTGGTAACACCTTTGAGAGTCAATCATCTCACATCGTGTAACGCAAACTGATCTTTGCTGCAATTTCTTGCTTTTAGTGTAATAGCTGTGTTTGATTTGGAGTCAAAATAAGAGCTTGTGAATGAGTTTTCCACCTCTCATAAAGTTCGTATATCAATACACACTGGTAGAATGTTTCTTGGTGTTGTTTTCATTTTCCTCGAACTATTACTACCTCATGAAATACGGCAAACTTGGTTGAGTTGTTTTAGTCATCTTTTAGACTATTATTTTGGCTAAAAACGAAAGAGAACGTATTGGTAAAAACAATCATAGATGTGTGACGCAATTAATGATCAAACCCAATATCACATAGCACTGTTGTTTTCCATTTCGATAAATGAAATCTGAAGCATTCGTTTCTACTTTTCACCATATGTGGGTTTCCATTGTTGAAGACCAAAACACGATGCTTCCGATGTAGATTCACAGGTCGTAGAAGGTCGACGTGCTGCCAATTGAGACTCCACTCATGAGGTCGCAAGAGACAAAAGTCACGTCGTCAATCATCCTTCATGTCATGGTGGGTTTTTGACCTCCGCAACACCTCCAAAAAAGAGAGGGCAACACCGGAGGACGTGGCCTTCCCGAGACCTACAATGAGGCAGACAGATAGAGAGTCGACGTGAGGGGTTTAGCCATCCATCCATTGTTCTCGGTGCAAGGTGGACGCCATGATATGATACGATCTGGTGCTGTAGTCATTAATGGAGCAATGGGGCTACCATCTGCATGCCATTGATTCCATGGCCACCATTAGTGCCAAGAATGGAGCTCCTCCTCCTCCCTGGTTGTCGCTCCCACTTGCATGTCATGCATACCGCAGAAGAGGCATTCGAGAGGCCAAAGATTGGAGCTTAGAACTCCTCTCCGAGTATTAATATATCTTACCGAGTTGGGTTGTCCATGAGCTAATAAATGTGCAGGTGCTGAAGAAGACTATTACCACATGATGACTCAAGTAAGACTGGTGTAGAATTATTCTAAGCCAAAATGATCCCAAGTAAAGAAGACTATATGTTTGATCTGCAGGTGCCATCAAAGCCATATGTGTGAGCCCCATGGTTCAGTCGGCATTAAATGAACTAGCCCATCTTGTCCCACTTTTATCTATCACATTTAGGGATGGTGGGGCACTTGCATGCATCCACCTCCAAGCCTTGACATCCTTTACTTTCCCTAAAGTAATTGCCACAATGTGCATAAATAGTTGATCTTTGCTGGTTAATGATTGCTCAACTGTTGGAGAGAGAGAGAGAGAGAGTGAGAGAGAGAGGGACACCATCTTTGTATATATTATATATATCCTTTTGCAGGGAGCCCTACAAGCTTTGGAATACTCTATGTTGCATTCATATAGCATCCATGCTGAGTGAGGGGACAGCTGCTTGTGCTTCAATAGTGGCAACATGTTCACTGAGAGTTACATGAGAGCGGATCAGATGGAGAACCTTGCATGAAGTAGCCAGTTTCAGGTTGGCATGCCAAACAACAAGTGTGGAATGCATGTCATGTGCATGTTGATGAATGGTAAATCTTCAAAGAAAACGCCAATTTTATGAATGGTAAATCTTCTTGAGCTACTTTTGGACCACCACATTGATGGACCTCTCCAGAAAAGAAGTAACAGAGTCACTCTATCTTCTAAAGTTCCCTTCTTTTAAGACCCCCTGCAGAGCACTGCTTTTCTCTCTTCTTGCGAGAGGGGTTCACTTGGGGACCCATCGGCTGCAAGTGAAGAAGCCAACTCCACGTGAAATGAATGGCATGTGGCTTCGCTAAGTACAACCATATCTATATGGAATTAAGAGAGAAAAGGTCGAGCGAACGTAAATCGTTACTAATTTTGTTCAAACCATTCAAGTCAAAATCGATTCTAATCATTAGTGTAGCTCATTACCGTAAGTATCTTTCGTCTCGAATGAAACTGATAGACATGTTTGATGGGAGCGAATGATCTTTTACCCTAATGTCGTCTAAGATGGCTTTCCGTGAGGAATATGTGTAGCTGAGTGAGGAAAATTGAGGCGCAAAGCATCAAGATTAACTTTGAGTTGCACCAAGCTAAGCTCCTGAAGCAATCGAGTGAGAACGAGGACAAGAGGAAGAAGACAACCAAGTTGAGGGGAAGAAGGACCACGAGCCCAAAGCGAAGGAAGCTGAAACCAGGAGTGAAGGTAAGAGATAGGCGAAGATACACGTGCAGCGCAGGTCGAGGAACGTACGGCACAAAAATATTACCCTCCCTATACGCCGTACGTACGCACGTACATGTCTCGCTTTCTCTCTCACACAACACGTAGTAGGAGAAATCGAAGCTTCCTACGTACATGGTAGGGAGAGAGAAGGGAAAAGACATGTGGACCAGTAGCAGTAAGCTTGGTATGCAGCAGCTGCGCCCAGCGAAGCGTGGGATGGGATGGGATGGGAGAGAGATGGTGGTGAATCGACGATGACTTGTCAGATGTCACTTCATACACCTCAAATCATAAGACTGTAAGCGATGGGCTGCGACGCTCCCGCCTTCTCTTCCGTCGCTCATGCCATCTTCACGCATGCGCAGCGAGTTGAGTTGCTCCATCACGACGCACAGGAGGAGAGCGAGACTATGGCTTCATCGAGTTAGGCCACGGTCAAGGCGTGCATGGCATGGCCAGGGCCGCTGCTGCCGCTGTCCCCGCCTGCGCCAGTCCCCGTAACTATAGTAGACATTGATGTGCATCGGCCCGGACGCCAAGCACGATGCCGAGCTCCCCCAGTAAGCCCCAGTCTTTTCCCCTCTCTCTCTCTCTCCCTCTCTCCTCACCTACCTGCCTAAACTCCTACTGGATTCAGTGTGGACAATAACTGCTACAGTGACTGCTGAGAAGAGTTCAGACTTGGAACAAGGTTTCAAGGACAGATGCCGTGGGATAGCATACAAGTGTGCCACTAGTTTCGCTTGGAGCAGTTTTGTCACGTTGTGGCATTAGGGTTGATAGCTAGAAAGGAGTGGTTTACTTGTACTCATGAGAGATCCGACATGGTCCATCAGATGTTGCAATCAGGCATGGCGCGGAGCATTCGAGCAAGGGGAGTGTATACGATCGAAGACATCCAACATTGCAGTGCTCGGGGTTGAGAATATCTCTGAACCGTAGGGTGCTGTGGGGGCAATGCTCGATGTGGACCTCTCGATGGAAAGGTTCCCCAAATATTTCAGTGAGGGGATGCGCTTCGTAAGGGACGAGTAATCGACCCCCATCTTGGTGTTGTTTGGTGGCTAATCCGGGACTACGTCTTGGTCAGATGAATCAGCCACCGGAGCTACATGCTTTGGATACCGAGTGGATTGTAATCAGTACGTGGAAATGTTGTGGTGATGATGAGGTAAATGGAATAGGAATAGGAATAGGAATGGGGAGAAGAAGGAAGAGATAAAGGGATGGGTAACCTTTTAACAGCCTCTTGTCGCATCACTAGGTCATGCCTTCCTATCATATGTAATAATGCAGGAGGTGTCAGTCCTGTTATTGCACTTACCAACCCCGGTCAGTCTCATTTTCCCTTCTCAGAACATGTCTGCATCCGATCTCTGCTTTTTACCACCCAGGAGAGCCATCCAAATTGCTCTCTTTTCCTCGCCCACACGCATCCACCACCGCTTTCTCCACCGTCCCAGGGGAAAAAGATCTCAGCCCACCACCAGCACCCAGGTGGGCAGATGGGAAGAAGAACATGATGAACCAGAAGTAGCAGCCCTGAGACAGCAGCAGCTGCAGGAGATGATGGAGATGTGAAAAGATTCAGGAGGCATGCGGTGCTCATTCTTGTCATCAGAGCTTCTCCCACTCTTTTCTCTCTCTTTTTGATCCTGCTCTGCCGAAAAAAGCTCTCTTCAGAACCATGATCAGATATCTCTGAACCTTAAGCTGGTGAAAGAAAGAGAGAGGGGGAGGGAGAGCAGCAGCAGCAGCAGCAGTAGGCGCCAAATTGGATAGGACAAAGGGGGAAGAGGAAAAGGAGGGAGGGAAGTTGGAAGAACGAGAGAGAGAGAGAGAG